CCCTCGTCTCCAACCCTGTGCTTGACACCGAGCTTCATCCCGGTCTGATATCAAATGTTGTGTATGACACCCATCTCTTTGACCCCGAGTGCCTTTATATGAGTCTGACACCCAACTCTGTGTCTGGAAGTGACCCTTATATATATGAATCTGACCCCTGTCCAATACCTGTGTCTGACAACCCAACATTGAAAACACAAAACCCAACTCTCTGGAACCGACCTCTAAATATGAGTCTTGACACCCATCTTTGACAACCCAATCCCAACCCTGCATGACATCCAACTCTATGTCTGGAATAGTCCCCCAGATATGTGTCTAACACCCATCTCTTGCCCTGACACCCAATTGTGTGTCTGAAACCTGAATATGACTCAGGCACTCATCCCCAACCCTGTGCCTGACACCCGGCCCTCGTTCTTGTCCGATACCAAACTGTATATGGCACTTAACTCTTTAGCCCCAAATGCCTTATCTGAGTCTGACACCCAACTCTGTGTTTTGGAAGTGACCCCTAAATATGAGTATGACACCCAACCCTGCATGCCACCCTACTACACACGTCTGGAATAGACCCCAAAATAGTCTGACACCCATCTCTTGCCCTAAACACACACCCAAATCTTGTCTTTGCAACCGACCCCAAATATGAGTTTGCTATTCACTATTACCCCTGTGCCTGACACCTGTCTCTGATACCCAACTTTGTCTGGATTTGACCCCAGATACGAGTCTGACTCCTCTGCCTGACACCCAGCCCCATCTTTTACAACCCTGCATAACACCCAACTGTGTCTGGAATAGACCCCCAAATATGGGTCCAACGCCCATCGCTTGTTCTAAGATGGACACCCAACTCTGTGTCTGGAATAGACCCCCCAAATATGGGTCCAACACCCATCGCTTGTTCTAAGACGGACACCCAACTCTAGAATAAACCCCCAAATATGGGTCCAACACCCATCACTTGTTCTAAAGATGGACATCCAACTCTGTCTGGAATAGACCCCCAAATATGGGTCCAACACCCATCACTTGTTCTAAGATGGACACCCAACTCTGTGTCTGGAATAGACCCCCCAAATATGGGTCCAACACCCATCGCTTGTTCTAAGACAGACACCCAATTCTGTGTCTGGAAGAGACCCCCAAATATGGGTCAAACACCCATCACTTGTTCTAAGATGGACACCCAACTCTATGTCTGGAAGAGACCCCCAAATATGGGTCCAACACCCATCACTTGTTCTAAGATGGACATCCAACTCTGTCTGGGAATAGACCCCCAAATATGGGTCCAACACCCATCGCTTGTTCTAAGATGGACACCCAACTCTGTGTCTGGAATAGACCCCCAAATATGGGTCCAACACCCCATCGCTTGTTCTAAGACAGACACCCAATTCTGTGTCTGGAAGAGACCCCCAAATATGGGTCAAACACCCATCACTTGTTCTAAGATGGACACCCAACTCTATGTCTGGAATAGACCCCCAAATATGGGTCCAACACCCATCACTTGTTCTAAGACGGACACCCAACTCTAGAATAAACCCCCAAATATGGGTCCAACACCCATCGCTTGTTCTAAGATGGACACCCAACTCTGTGTCTGGAATAAACCCCCAAATATGGGTCCAACACCCATCACGTGTTCTAAGATGGACACCCAACTCTGGAATAAACCCCAAATATAGGTCCAACACCCATCACTTGTTCTAAGATGGACACCCAACTCTGTGTCTGGAATAGACCCCCAAATATGGGTCCAACACCCATCACGTGTTCTAAGATGGACACCCAACTCTGTGTCTGGAATAGACCCCCAAATATGGGTCCAACACCCATCGCTTGTTCTGAGATGGACACCCAACTCTGGAATAGACCCCCAAATATGAGTCTAACGCCCATCGCTTGTTCTAAGATGGACATCCAACTCTGTCTGGAATAGACCCCCAAATATGAGTCTAACACCCATCACGTGTTCTAAGATGGACATCCAACTCTGGAATAGACCCCCAAATATGGGTGCAACACCCATCACTTGTTCCAAGATGGACACCCAACTCTGTGTCTGGAATAGACCCCCAAATGTGGGCCCAACACCCATCGCTTGTTCCAAGATGGACACCCAACTCTGTGTCTGGAATAGACCCCCAAATATGGGTCTGACAACCCAACTTCCACACCCAACTCTGTATCTGAAGCCTGGATTTGTGGTTTAGCTGTACATCCTTTTCTTGGAATACATTGGAGGCCACAGGAGCATCTTCATCGGCATTACAACTGGGTTATACTGCCCCCTTCAGGTGATTGGACACTGGCCGGTAGAAGACAGGAAGTTCCCTCCCAGGCATAACCCCTCTGATTTTGTAGCAAGTCCCTGAGACGTTGGTCTGCTGCCATGTAAATCGGGACCCTTGCTGGAATTAGTGGTCCCAGTCAGCCAGGAGGACACTGTGCCAGGGAGCGCTACTTTGCTGGAGACCGCCCACTTCAGATCTGCCATTGCCCCTCCACACCCCTAAGGAAAGGTGTGGGTTTGTGTGGCCCTGTAATACTTGCTGGGACTTGTAGTACATTCAGAAAACGCCTTGTCTAACGGGGAACGGTTGTGCCGGTGAGGGAACTTCCTGTCCTTGGCAGCGCCCAATCACCTGACGGTGGCACCACAACCTTATTGTAATGGCTGAAAGAAGCTCTGCCGTCCTGTGATGTCCAATTAATGAATCTGACCCAATCCTGCGCCCGGTACCCCAGAACACCTGACCCGGTCTCTGCAACTGACACCCCCCCAAGCAAGCATCTGACACCCATCTTCAACCCTGACACCCAAAAGCTCTGAACCCCAAAAACCGCCTGACAACAGAGAAGAGGCGTTCCATAGATGTAGCCTTACCTTCTGTGGACACCCCTGTCTATGGACATTCCCCTCCCCTCCCCCGATGGGTCCGGCTTTCCTTTACTGTTGTGTGGTGAAGGAGTCTATGTGGAAGAAAATGGCGGCCTCATAGTGGGGGGATCTCAGCCTGATACACGATTGCACTGGATTGGTACATCATGGGAGAAAGTTGGTGCGTTCAGGTGTACGGTGATCTCCGGGGCCACTGGTAAGGCAGTGCAGCCAGCCCTCCTGTATGGGGCCCCATCTGTGCAAAATGGGGGTCTGGGCCCCTGCCAAGGACCACCTTGTGACTTGTGGGATCCCCCCGCAGTGCAGCCAGCCCTCCTGTACGGGGCCCCATCTGTGCAAAATGGGGGTCTGGGCCCCTGCCAAGGACCACCTTGTGACTTGTGGATCCCCCCGCAGTGCAGCCAGCCCTCCTGTACGGGGCCCCATCTGTGCAAAATGGGGGTCTGGGCCCCTGCCAAGGACCACCTTGTGACTTGTGGATCCCCCCGCAGTGCAGCCAGCCCTCCTGTACGGGGCCCCATCTGTGCAAAATGCGGGTCTGGGCCCCTGCCAAGGACCACCTTGTGACTTGTGGATCCCCCCGCAGTGCAGCCAGCCCTCCTGTACGGGGCCCCATCTGTGCAAAATGGGGGTCTGGGCCCCTGCCAAGGACCACCTTGTGACTTGTGGATCCCCCCGCAGTGCAGCCAGCCCTCCTGTACGGGCCCCCATCTGTGCAAAATGCGGGTCTGGGCCCCTGCCAAGGAGGGGGGTCGGCTGTACCACCTTGTGACTCGTGGAACCCCCTGCAGTGCGGACAGCTTTCTCCCTCTTGCTGCCCAGCAGGAGGATTGATTCTAGGATCTGCTCCCCCCCCAGCTGTCCAGTTCCCCGTGTGCCCCCCCAGTTCTCTGCCGGCCTCCCTCCCTCCTGCCAGCCGCTACGGGGGGGGCACACAGGGGTATTGGTTTTAGGCTGGAGAGTGAGAGGGGGCGGTAATTGTGTAAGATTTCCCAGCCCTTCCTTCTCTGAATGAACTCCATGTGTGATCCGTGCCAATCACTCCTGTGTCCATTCATCATTGAGGCGTTGACTGATCCGGTTCATGAAGGAGGCGGCGGCCTCTGAGCATTTCCCACGCAGCGGAGGGAACGATGAACCTCGGTCCCTTTCCCTGTCTCACAAGGAGGACATCAGGGGTCTGTGGAGACCCCCTCATATCCCACCAAAGACCCCCAACAGGGCACTTAAAAAAAAAAAAATTACAAGACAATGAAGGGCTTGTGCACACGTGTTTTTTTTTTCTGAGGATGAGTCAGCGTTTGGTTCGCTCTTCAGAGGGAGTGTGATGGGTAGTATGGAGGCATATTGCCACATCAGCGCCTGCTGGAACCACACACCAATGTGTAGCATTGTGGGCGTGGCCTTTTGGAAAAAATATTTTATTGGGGGGGGGGGGGGGGGGGGGGTTCGCTGGTTCCACCTTACTAGGTAGCGGAGACCCTCCTATGAAGAGCGATCACTAACGCTGTTCCCAGCCCTGGGATTGGTCTGTTTTTCAGCCGGTCCGGTATTCCTGGCACCTTTATTACAGCAAGTAGCAAAGCTTGGTCACAGACCCGCCCCCAGGCTGCTGATTGGGCAACCGAGCCACCCATGAGGTCATCACCCTATCGGTACTCCTCCTTCCAGCAAGTTTCCAGTGTTGGCTGACAGCTCTGTGCACTGAGAAAGCAGAGAACACCACCACTCCTCTCACTGCGAGGGGTTCAGGGAATTCAAATGGAAAAAAAAAAAATATCAGTTCAGGAACAAAACAACCAAAATATGAAGTGTTTTCAGCACCCCACTCCAGAATTCAGGGTCACAGTCCTGGGGGGGTTGGTGTGGAAAAAAAAAAAAAAAAAAAAATCTGGGGGGGGGGAAAACGGGGGGGTGGGGGGGGGGGGGGTGGACCGGGGCAAAAAATTGGCAGTGTTTCAGTGGTGTGGGGGCGGGGGGTGGGGGGGGGGGTCTGAAGGGCACTGGACAAAAGGAACAAACCAAGGGCGAAAATATAAAGTTATAAAAAGCAGCCAAAAACAACAAAACAGGACAGTAAATTTCTACAATTCGAAGAGTTTCGAGGGGTCCAGAAATATTCTTTATATTCGATCATGATTTGTTTGGCGGCTGTTGAGCTGCTCATACGCCTCCTCCAGCAAACTGTCTCTGCAAACTGAAGAAGGGGAGAGGGAGGACCCCGGGGGGAGCATCCCCCAACAGAACCCCTCCCCCGATACTCCCAGTGAGCCCCGTCCCGCGCAACAAGTTCCTAGCTCAGTACCTACCACTCCACCCAATGAGCCCAGCATCGTACTTGCAACAGAACAAAACTTAGAAGGTTTGGACCAGTGTGAGCCCCGGTGTGACATCCCAACAGAACACACCCTCCCCCCCCCTGGCGCCGATACTCCCAGGTGATGGAGGCCCCTGTCCCCCAAAAGAACCCTCCACCTCCCATGAGCCCCGCTCACCCAACAGAACACCCCCCCCCCGGGGAGCGCCCATTCACCCAACAGAACCCCCCCCCCCCCCCCCCCCCCCCGATAAGCTCCCCAGTGAGCCCCGTCCCCCAAAAGAACCCCTCCAACCGTCCCAATGAGCCCCATCACCCAACAGAACACCCACCCCTCCGGGTGAAGCCCCCCTGCAACAGGTGAGAAACCCCCATCCCAACAACATAAACCCCTCCCCCGATACTCCCAGTGAGCCCCGTCCCCCAACAGATCCCCTCCAACCACTCCCATTGAGCCCCTATCACCCAACAGAACACCCACCCCAATCTTCCCCCATATACTGCCCCCCCCCCCCCCCCAGGGCTGACCCAGCCCCTCCCCCAACCAGAACCCCCGGCCCCTGACGTACTCCCAGTGAGCCCCCTAACCCAGAACCCCTCCACCCGCCCATAGAGGCACCCATCACCCTTCACAGGAACCCCACCCCCCCGCAACCCCCCCGTTTCCCCCAACAGAACACAATCACCCAACAGAAACCCCCCCCAATTCGATACTCCCAGGTGAGCCCCCGTCCCCCAACAGAACCCCCTCCACCTCTCCCATGAGCCCCATCACCCCAACAGAACACCCACCCCCCCCCCCCCCCCAACCCCCCCAGGTGAGCCCCATCACCCAACAGAACCCCCCCCCCCGATACTCCCAGAGCCCCAACCCCCAACAAAAACACCCCCATCACCCAACAGAACCCCCCCCCCCCCCCCCAGTGAGCCCCAGTCCCCCAAACAGAAACCCCTCCACGCCCCCCCCAACAGAACACCCCCCCCCCCAGGTGAGCCCATTTCCCCCAACAAAAACACCCCCCATCACCCAACAGAACCACCCCCCCCCCGATACTCCAGTGAGCCCTGTCCCCCAACAGAACCCCTCCCCACCCTCCCATGAGGCCCCATCACCCAACAAAACACCCCCCCCCCCAGGTGAGCTCCATCACCCAAACAGAGAACACCCCCCCCCCCCCCCCCCCCATACTCCCAGTGAGCCCCTGTCCCCCAACAGAACCCCTCCACCCTCCCCATGGAGCCCCATCACCCAACAGAACACCCCCTCCCCCCCAGGTGAGCCCCATCACCCAACAGACACACCCCCCCCCCCCACAGGTGAATAGTCCCCCCATCACCCAACAGAACCCCCCCCCCCGATACTCTCAGTGAGCCCCATCACCCAACAGAACACCCCCCCCCCCCCAGGTGAGAGCCCCATCACCCAACAGAACCCCCCCCCCGATACTCTCAGTGAGCCCCATCACCCAACAGAACACACCCCCCCCCCCAGGTGAGCCCCATCACCCAACAGAACCCACCCCCCCCCGATACTCTCAGTGAGACCCAACAGAACCCCCCCCCGGCCCCCCCCGGGGTTAGCCCTGTCACACAAAAAACCATCCTCCCCCTGTACTCCTAGGGAGCCCCTGTCGCCTGACTCCCCCGCGATACTCCCAGTGAGCCCCCATCACCCGACCCCACATGCCCCCCCCCCCCCCCCCGATACTCCCAGTGAGCCCCCCCATCACCCGACCCCCCCCCACCTCCCCGGATCCCCCATACTCTCCAGGTGGCACCCAACACCCCCCCCCCCCTCTCTCGAATACTCCAAGAGTGAGTCCCATCACACCCCCGCAAAAACTCCCACCATTTAGTTATTGCTATTGCTCTGGAACACCCCCCATGCCCCCGTCACACTGGAGGTACATACCCGGGCATGTGTAGCTTGTAAGCTGTTTCCCCATATCCAAGTCGTCTTCAAGTATCGATCGATACGATCGCTCCGGGGGGGGGGGGGGGGGGGGGGGGGGGGGGGGGGGGGGGGGGGGTCTGCATAGCATCAGAACATCCGGTCATTGTGTATAATGGGGGGGGGGGGGGCGGATACAAGCCAGTAAATGAGCGCACTCCACTGGGGGGCCGTGATTTGTGTATAATGACGCAACTGGGGGGGGGGGGGGGGGCGGTAATAAGCCCATTACAATGAGGCACTTCCAAAGGGGGGCGTTAATGAACTTGTGTACACAATGACGCACTGCTTGCGGGGGGTGGGGGGGGCGGGTAATGGGGCCGATGGGGTACATGAGGCCAAAGTATCCACTGGGGGGGGCGGTAATATCGGTATTGAACTTGTGTACACTGAGACGCACTGCTGCGGGTGTGTGGGGGGGGGGGGGGCGGTAATAAAGCCCATGTACAATGAGGCACTTCCACTGGGGGGCGGTAAATGAACTTGTGTACAATGACGCACTGCTAGCTAGGGGGGGGGGGGGGGGGGGGGCGGTAATAAGCCCATGTACAATGAGGCACTTCCACCCTGGTGGGGGGGCGGTAATGAACTTGTGTACAATGAGCCTCAATGCCACTATAGGGGGGGGGGGGGGGGGGGGGGGGGTGGGGCGCGGGGGTGGGGGGGGTAATGATCTTTCTCCATGTACAATGGTGCACTCCGTCCACCCTTGGTGACATCGGAGACCCTCCACACACATCACCCACACCCCACCCCGGAGAGCACACATCACCCACCCCGGAACACACAGGTATGTCAGTACAGCAGGTTATATTGCCACCTACAGGAGGATTAGACAATGGCAAACACAAACTTGTAGGCGGAGCCCAGGATAGCCCCTCCTACTCCCAGCATGCCTCAGTGTTTTGCTAGTGTCCTGTGAGGGTGACCATCTCCGGAGTCGAAGTTCTTTGCTGGTTCATGTTTGTTGTTGCCGATCCGGTCTCTATATACAGCAATCCGGGTCGGCCTGTCTGTAGTCGGTCCCTGGAGGATGGACCAACTGGATGGGGGCGGGGCCAGCCTGGAGCGTGATCTCTCCGGGCACTCTGCGGCGGGTTTCCAGACCCCAGTGTAGCCGCGGAGCGTCCTCCGGGTCCAGAGCCCCAGCCGCGAGCGTCCTCCGGGTCCAGAGCCCCAGCCGCGGAGCGGGAGCGTCCGCCCGAGCGTCCTCCGGGTCCAGAGCCCCAGCCGCCGAGCGTCCTCCGGGTCCAGAGCCCCAGCCGCGGAGCGTCCTCCGGGTCCAGAGCCCCAGCCGCCGCCGGAGCGTCCTCCGGGTCCAGAGCCCCAGCCGAGCCGTGGAGATCCTCTAGGGGAAAGCAGTGAATGTTCTGGTGGTTCCGTTGGATCGGTACATCCTGATCTATACCTTTCATCCCTGGAAATGGCTCCCTTGTCTGCTTCACATGATGGAGAGCATTTCAGTGATCTCCATCGTGCCAGACTGGCCCAGGCAAATGTGGTGGATGTGGTACTCCGACCTGATCAAACTCCTTGCAGACGCCCTGAGGGCTCTTCCGGATCATCAGGGCCACTCTGCCATCCTGGGTCAGGGTCGTTTGCATGAACAGCATGGCTTCTGAAGTCCAGGTTCTGAAAGACAAAAGGCAACTGAACCTCCATGATGCTGAAGTCTAGGAAATCTACTTCCCACCAGCTCTACCATCACATCTGAAAGGCACACTTGGCTTGATGTGAGGGAAAACAATTTCATTCCAGCTAAATTCTCTTTGGGACAAATCGATCTTTTTCTCATATGGGCCTGGACCAGCATTTGGCCCTTCGCATCATCAAGGGTTGTCTCTGTTCAGGTAATCGTGTTCAATTATAGACCGCTAGCTTCCCATTCCTTGATGAAGATCTTTGTATAGGGCCTCCTCCATGTGGCTTCCCCAGTCTCTGTGGGATCAGAACAGACCGCTAGCTTCCCATTCCTTGATGAAGATCTTTGTATAGGGCCTCCTCCATGTGGCTTCCCCAGTCTTGTGGGATCAGAATACACCCTAGCTATTCCCATTCCTTCATGAAGATCTTTGTATAGGGCCTAGTGGCCTCCCCAGTCCATGTGGGATCCTTACACCGTAGCTTCCCCATTCTGATGGGATCAGAATAGGGCAATGTGGCTTCCACCAGTCTCTGTGGGATTACTTACCCATAGCTCCTTCATTCATGAAGATCTTTGTATAGGGCCCCCTCCAGGGCTTCCCCAGTCACTGGGGATCAGAATACCCGCTATCCCTCCATGTGGCTTCCCCAGTCTCTGTTGGGATCAGAATACACCGCTAGCTTCCCATTCCTTGATGAAGATCTTTGTATAATGGGCCTCCTCCATGTGGCTTCCCCAGTCTCTGTGGGATCAGAAACCCCCCCAGACAGACACCGCTTCCCCAGTCTCTGTGGGGATCCCATACACCGCTACTTCCCATTTCCTTGATGAAGATCTTTGTATAGGGCCTCCTCCATGTGGGCTTCCCCAGTCTCTGTGGGATCAGAACAGACCGCTAGCTTCCCATTCCTTGATGAAGATCTTTGTATAGGGCCTCCTCCATGTGGCTTCCCCCATCTCTGTGGGATCAGAAACAGACCGCTAGCTTCCCATTCCTTGATGAAGATCTTTGTATAGGGCCTCCTCCATGTGGCTTCCCCAGTCTCTGTGGGATCAGAATATACACCGCTAGCTTCCCATTCCTTCATGAAGATCTTTGTATAGGGCCTCCTCCATGTGGCTTCCCCAGTCTCTGTGGGATCAGAATACACCGCTAGCTTCCCCATTCCTTGATGAAGATCTTTGTATGAGCCTCCTCCATGTGGCTTCCCCAGTCTCTGTGGGATCAGAAACAGACCGCTAGCTTCCCCATTCCTTCATGAAGATCTTTGTATAGGGCCTCCTCCATGTGGCTTCCCCCAGTCTCTGTGGGATCAGAACAGACCGCTAGTTCCACGGATTCTTCATGAAATCTTTGTTATAGGGCCTCCTCCATGGGCTTCCCCTCTGTCAGAACAGACCGCTTACTTCCCATTAATCATGAAGATCTTTGCATAGGGCTCCTCACCATGTGGCCCCCAGTCTCTGCAGAACAGACCGTAGCTTTCATTCAATGACAAGGTGGTTGTATTGAGGCCTTTCCTCCAGTGGTCTTCTCTCCAAGTTGTTTTCCACGGAACTTAAACCAAAAAAGACATTTGGGTTCAACTCTTTTAATGAGATATATAGCATTCTTCTGACCTTGTGTCCAGCTACAATCCATTGGAAGTTCTCCTCTGAACTTCCAACCCAAAGGTGGTTTTGTCCATTTCACCTCCACCAGGACATCATCTTCTGACCTTGTGTCCAGCTTCAGTTCATATGATCTCCCAGAACTTCCTACCCAAGGTGGTTTTGTCCATTCACCTCCACCAGGACATCAATCTTCTGACCTTGTGTCCAGCTTCAGTTCATCATGATCTCCCAGAACTTCCTACCAAGGTGGTAGTGTCCATTCACCTCCACCAGGACATCAATCTTCTGACCTTGTGTCCAGCTTCAGTTCATATGATCTCCCAGAACTTCCTTCCCAATTTGGTTTTTTGTCCTTTCACCTCCAACCTGGACATCAATCTTCTGACCTTCTGTCCAGCTTCAGTTCATATGATCTCCCAGAACTTTCTACCCTAAGGTGGTTTTGGCCTTTCACCTCCAGCAGTCCCATCTTTGGTTCATCAAAAGTGCTCTCTCCATTGCCTGGATGAAGTTCATGCTGTGCAGGATTACCTCACACCCATTGGTTCTATCGAACACCAACTCTCTGCCATCCCCAAGTCCTGTAAGGAGGAACCTGCTCCTCATTCAAACAAACCATCATTAAAGACTTAGACTCTTACGGATCAGGTTCCACCATATTCTGGATAGGCACACCCTCTAAATGATTCTTGGGCTCTTCACCATCAAGCAACTGTTTCCCAGATTTGCAAGGCTACTACCTAGTTTTTCTGATCACAAGTTCTCCTAAAATCCTATCAGGTGGATGTTCAGGCTCACCTGATGCCAGCTTTGGGTGTAAGGTCCTCCAGGGGGCTCCTTCCCACATGAATAAGTCCACCACCTGGTCTTCTGTATACACATTAAGTTCCACCAAGTGGATGTTCAAGCCTTCTTGATGCCAACTTGGGGTGTAAGGTCCTTCAGGCAGCTCCTTCCCCCATTTTCAAGTCTATCACCTGGTCTTCTGCTCACATGTTCTCCTAAGTCCCACCAGATGCATGTTCAGGTCACATCCTGATGGCCAGCTTTGGGTGTAAGGTCCTTCAGGCAGCTCCTTCCCCCCATTGTCAAGTCTACCACCTGGTCTTCTGCTCACATGTTCTCTAAGTCACACCAGATGCATGTTCAGGTCTCATCTGATGCCAGCTTTGGGTGTAAGGTCCTTCAGGCAGCTCCTTCCCCCCATTGTCAAGTCTACCACCTGGTCTTCTGCTCCCATGTTCTCCTAAGTCCCACCAGATGCATCTTCAAGCCTCATCTGATGCCAGCTTTGGGTGTAAGGTCCTTCAGGCAGCTCCTTCCCCCCATTGTCAAGTCTACCACCTGGTCCCTTCTGCTCCCATGTTCTCCTAAGTCCCACCAGATGCATCTTCAACGCCTCATCTGATGCCAGCTTTGGGTGTAAGGTCCTTCAGGCAGCTCCTTCCCCCCATTGTCAAGTCTACCACCTGGTCTTCTGCTCCCAAGTTCTCCTAAGTCCCACCAGATGCATCTTCAAGCCTCATCTGATGCCAGCTTTGAGTGTAACAGTCCTTCAGAGGGCTCTTTGACCTGTAGGCAGTCCCCCGCTGTTTTGTTGTGGTTGTCCACCCCCTTAGCTGGGTGTTGTGGACATCACAATGGTTATCGGAATCCCCTGTGTCCTTTACTGAATGAGAAAAGATGATGGGATTGGTCTTACTTTAAAATCGTTTTCTTGAAGTCCATCGAGGATCCCCACCAGTCTACAATCATTTTTCTTGGGTAATGCTTTTTGCTCTAAACTGAGTGAATGCTGGGAGTATGCGGAGTTAAACCACTATTTGTTCTGTAAGGTGGCAGTATAACCCAACAGGACTACTGTGTCCCTCAAGGAGCTACTTTCTGTGTAAGGACAATGACCCCCATTGTCCCGATCCTTGACCCGTGTTATGTATTATGTTACTGACCCATCACTGGACTGTCGTTACCCAAATCCCGGGACACAAACCCGGCTGACAGATGTGAAGTTGGAGCACAAAGCAATGTGACCCAATACACACAAATTTCAGAAGAAGAGGGACACCCCCGCTGTCCTGTCAATAGGATGACCTGTAAAAACAGGACAAAGGGGGAGCAGCTGAAAATCTCCCACCACCCAGCCCAAGATGTCCCACCGCTCCGTGGCTGGTCTCACCTGTGTGCACATTGCTCGCCACGTCCTTCCTGGGGGTCCTGGAGAGCTGGTGGGCCCTGATGCAGGGATCTTCACCTCTCTCAATCCCTGGACCAGATCTCGGCTGACCTGGAGGCCGAAAAAAAACAAAAAACACGTAGAAGTATATAGAGTGAAAAACAAATTACAGGGCATCACATGGAACACACCACCAGGCCCCTTGGCACAGCTGAAGCAGACCAGGACACCTTGACCACATACATGACGCAGACCAAGGACAAACCCTTGCCCACACATGACATTAGACCAACGACCTAGGCCGAGATCAATACACCATCCCTGACACCACAAGATTGCCCCCAGCATGACCTGGAGGGCCAAGAAAACAAAAACCTGCATGCCACCCCAGAATGACATAGACCAGTGACAAAACCCTAACAGCCGACGATAAAATACACCATGCATTACACCAGCCAGGACACCCTTTGCCCCCCATCAGACCATGACATTGCCCAGCCAAGATAGGACACCCTTGCCCACCAGGGGGACATGAGACACACCCATTGCCCACCAGACATGTCGCAGACCAGGACACCCTGCCCACCAGACATGGACAGACAGGACTCCCATGCATGACATGAGTCAGACCAGGACACCCTTGCCCACCAACATACGAACAGACCAGGACACCCTAGCCCACCAACATGGACAGACATTGGACACCCTTGCCCACCAGAGGACATGAGACACCCTTGACCAGGACATGAACATTAAGACCATGACACCCTAGCCAGATACATACACCATGCATGACACCAGGACCAGGACACCCTTGCCCACCATGACGCAGACCAGGACACCCTTGCCCACCAGACATGGGACAGACCCAGGACAAAAAAACCCTTGCCCACCAGACGTGACATTCGACCATGACACCCTAGCCATGACACCCTTGCCCACCAGACATTGACATTAGGACCATGACACCCTAAGCACGATACATACACATGCATGACACCCTTAGACCCAGACATGACAGACCCAGGAACCTTGCCCACACAACACATGACATTAGACCATGAACACCTAGAAGATACATACACCATGCATGACACCAATCCAGACACCCCATGACATGACATTAGACCACCACCCTAGCCACATGCACGACACCAGACCAGGACACCCTTGCCCCAGACATGACGCATACACAGGACAAGCCTTGCCCACCAGACATGGGACAGACTAGGACACCCTTGCCCACTCCAGACCAGACATGACACACCTAGCCAAGACAGGGACACCCTTGCCCAGACAGGACATTAGACCCACCCTAGCCACCATACACCAGACACCCTGACCACCAGACATGATGCAGACAAAAAAGAAGGACACCCTTGCCCACACCATTAGACCATGACTAGCCAAGAGACATACACCAGGCATTGACAGTCCAGGACACCCTTGCCCACCAGACATGACATAGACCACAGACCTTAGACCAGACTTACACATGCATGACACAGGACATGGACACCTGGACACTTGCCCACCACACATGGACCAGGACACCTGCCACCAGGACATGTACAGACTTGGACACCCTTTGCCCACCAGACATGAGACAGACGAGGACACCCTTGCCCACCAGACATGGCATGCAGACGAGGACACCTTTGCCCACCAGACATGGGACAAGACGAGGACACCCTTGCCCACCAGACATGAGAAGACACGAGGACCCCTTGCCCACCAGACATGGGACAGATGGACACCCTTGCCCACCAGAACATGAGACAGACGAGGAGACACCCTTGCCCAGACACTGGGACAGAACACCCTGCCCATGGGACAGACTTGGACACCCTTGCCCTCCAGACATGAGACAGACGAGGACACCTCTTGCCCACCAGACATGACATTAGACCATGACACTATCCACGATAACATACACACATGCATACACCAGACCATTACACCTGGCCACCATACATTGTAGAGGACACAGGGTGAGTAATCCCACAATGTCAGCCTCACTGGTAGGACGTTTAAAAGGTAACCTTACAAAGGAGGCCAGAAATTCAGCAACCAGAGCGGTGACAAAGGTACCAGAGAAAAAGAAAAAGAGGGAACAAAAAAACCATCCACACAGTCCCCGTCAGACAGAAGAACTCAGCAGGACCTTGCCTACTTTGGAAGTACAGGGAATGGTTCTGCTGACAGTCCCGGGGGAGGGGGGAGGAGTCCTCCAGCCAGATTTCTGTCTTTGGTAGAACAACTGCAGATTACAAAGCCTTCAAGGGCAGAAATGGCTGCCGGGGTATTACTCGTAGCAATGTCCTGAACGAAGACCAGGTCACTACTCCTGATGAAGAGAGACTCCTACTCCTTCCCTGAGAAGAACGCAATGCATTGGTGATGCCCAACGGAGTCCAATCTGGGAGACTAACTCAAGACAGGGTGCCCGGATGGGGAGGGAGCCATCTACTCTAGAGGGGCAGACTGGAGCAAATGGGGTCCCCCAAGAAGAGACCACCCCTTCCATCTGAAGAGATTGTTGGGTCGCACCATGTACTACCTGGTCCATATGTAAGTCTTGGGTAGACTCCAGACCTAAAGCAGTAGAAAGGGGCTGAGAAAGGCCACAAGAGAAGGGATGGTCATCCTGAGAGGGGACAAAGGTTTCACCAGAAGAGATTGGTGGGTCACACCATGCTCCACCTGCTCCACAGAGACAATATCTATGACTTGGGTAGAGTCCAGACCTGAAGCCATAGGAGGCTTGAAAGCCCTAAAGAGAAGGGGTGAGGATCCTGAGAGGGGGACATAAAGCTTCTCCAGAAGAGATTGGTGGGTCCCACCATGCACTACCTGCTCCATAGAGACAATATCTATGTCTTGGGTAGAGCCCGTGTCGTGCCCCATCTAGAGCCTGAGTCTACGCTTGGATAGAGCCCGGGCCTTGACCTGGCTAGAGTATGTGTCGTGTCCTGGCTAGGGTCCAGACCTGAAGCCATAGGAGGATTGAAAGCCCTAAAGAGAAGGGGTGAGGATCCTGAGAGGGGGACATAAAGCTTCTCCAGAAGAGATTGGTGGGTCCCATCATGCACTACCTGCTCCATAGAGACAATATCTATGTCTTGGGTAGAGCCCGTGTCGTGCCCCATCTAGAGCCTGAGTCTTCGCTTGGATAGAGCCCGTGCCTTGACCTGGCTAGAGTATGTGTCGTGTCCTGGCTAGGGTCCAGACCTGAAGCCATAGGAGGCAGAGGAGGATTGAAAGCCCTAAAGAGAAGGGGTGAGGATCCTGAGAGGGGGGACATAAAGCTTCTCCAGAAGAGATTGGTGGGTCCCATCATGCACTACCTGCTCCATAGAGACAATATCTATGTCTTGGGTAGAGCCCGTGTCGTGCCCCATCTAGAGCCTGAGTCTTCGCTTGGATAGAGCCCGGGCCTTGACCTGGCTAGAGTATGTGTCGTGTCCTGGCTAGGGTCCAGACATGAAGCCATAGGCAAGGGGATGAGACTTGAAAGCCCTCAAGGGAAGGGGTGACTATCCTGAGAGGGGGACATAAAGCTTCTCCAGAAGAGATTGGTGGGTCCCATCATGCACTACCTGCTCCATAGAGACAATATCTATGTCTTGGGTAGAGCCCGTGTCGTGCCCCATCTAGAGCCTGAGTCTACGCTTGGATAGAGCCCGGGCCTTGACCTGGCTAGAGTATGTGTCGTGTCCTGGCTAGGGTCCAGACATGAAGCCATAGAAGGGGATGAGACTTGAAAGCCCTCAAGGAAGGGGTGAGGATCCTGAGAAGGGACAACAACTCCACAATCTTGGAGGCAGTAGGCATCTCTGAAGGACACCGAGGAGCCTGGTCATGTATTAGGAAAGGGTTGGGCCACGTTGGTTCCAATCAACCTTGTAGGTCGGGAAGTCCCCCTGAGACATATGGATGCTGAGGGTACCATGTACGGGGGCGGGGCTTGTACAGAAACCCCAATGCAGGGAACCTTCTGAGGACCTGCGTGCCCCGATATGGAACAACTACAAAACTGGAGTTCCCATTTCACCAAGGGGTCCCGGAATGTGTGGAATCCAGAGAAATGGGTGGAGCATCATTGTTTTGTGGAACTACGAGAGGAATGGTGGAGGACCAACTGAACACATGGGAGGAGCCAAGGGCTGGCCTGAGGGACAAAGTGAAGATCCTCGGCACTCAGCTGCCTGGGAGAGCACCAAAGGCCAGCCTTGATGGACAGTCAGCCCCCCCAGCTTGTCGCACTGGGGGGGGGGGGGGGCAACATGCATTTCACAGGGTTACATGAGCTCTGGCAGCCCCAGGGGGTGAGTGAGAGAAGCTCTGGAGGACAGAGGAGAGCAGAGACCTTCCCCCGACACGGAGACCGACTCCGCCCAACCACAGCATTCCACCAAAAGTCAAGCATTTCAGCAAAATCCCGCCCCCCAACCAAGACACGCCCCCAGATGACAAATCCCCCCCCATCATATGTCAAATTCCCCCCCCCCCACACATACACCATCCCCATTGGGACAAATCCCAGTTGTGGGCGGAGTCTATTCCAGGTGAGTAGAGTGTCAGCTCCGGGGTCTCACCAATAAACACCAAAGTCTGATAATTCTCCTTCATGACGTCCTTGTAGAGTTCCTTCTGCCATTCCTCCAGACTGCGCCACTCCTCCTCCGAGAAATACACCGCCACGTCATCGAAGAGGACCGGCACCTGAAGAGCGACACACAGGGTGACTCCCACCGGTACTCATCACCCCCCCCCGATCAGTGTTCCCATCACCCCCCCCCCGCGATCAATACTCCCATCACACCCCCCGATCAATACTCCCATCACACACCCCCGATCAATGCTCCCATCACCCCACTCCTCCTCCGAGAAATACACCGCCACGTCATCGAAGAGGACCGGCACCTGAAGAGCGACACACAGGGTGACTCCCACCGGTACTCATCACCCCCCCCCCCCCCGATCAGTGTTCCCATCACCCCCCCCCGACCAGTGCTCCCATCACACCCCCCCCATCAATGCTCCATCACCCCACTCCTCCTCCGAGAAATACACCGCCACGTCATCGAAGAGGACCGGCACCTGAAGAGCGACACACAGGGTGACTCCCACCGGTACTCATCATCACCCCCCCCCCCCCCCCGATCAGTGCTCCCATAACCCCCCCCCCCGACCAATACTCCCATCACACCCCCGATCAGTGCTCCCATCACCCCACTCCTCCTCCGAGAAATACACCGCCACGTCATCGAAGAGGACCGGCACCTGAAGAGCGACACACAGGGTGACTCCCCACCGGTATCTCATCACCCCCCCCCCGATCAGTGTTCCCATCACCCCCCCCCCCCCCCACCAGTGCTCCCATCACACCCCCCCCCGATCAATGCTCCCATCACCCCACTCCTCCTCCGAGAAATACACCGCCACGTCATCGAAGAGGACCGGCACCTGAAGAGCGACACACAGGGTGACTCCCACCGGTACTCATCACCCCCCCCCCCCCCCCCCCGATCAGTGCTCCCATAACCCCCCCCCCCACCAATACTCCATCACACCCCCGATCAGTGCTCCCATCACCCCACTCCTCCTCCGAGAAATACACCGCCACGTCATCGAAGAGGACCGGCACCTGAAGAGCGACACACAGGGTGACTCCCACCGGTACTCATCACCCCCCCCCCCCCCGATCAGTGCTCCCATCATCCCCCCCCCCCCCGACCAATGCTCCCATCACCCCCCCCCCCATCAGTATTCCCATCACCCCACTCCTCCCCCCCCCCCATCCAATCGCCCCGCGCTCCCCCCCATCCCCATCCAATCGCCCCGCGCTCCCCTCCCCCCCCCATCCAATCGCCCCGCGCTCCCCTCCCCCCCCCCCCCATCCAATCGCCCCGCGCTCCCTCCCCCCCCCATCCAATCGCCCCGCGCTCCCCTCCCCCCCCCCCATCCAATCGCCCCGCGCTCCCCTCCCCCCCCCCATCCAATCGCCCCGCGCTCCCCTCCCCCCCCCTCCCCCCCCCCCATCCAATCGCCCCGCGCTCCCCTCCTCCAGACTCCTCAGTGATGATGATGGGGGTGCCCAGTGGGGGAGGGGAGGGGGTCCCCCATTCTCAGTGATCTCCCCTCCCCCCTGTAGTGATGATGGGGGGAGGGGGGGTATAAGAGGTCAGGCTGTGATTGGTCCTCTGTGTTTAGGGGGCGGGGTGTCCTGCAGACCCCTCCCCCCGGGGGTCTCCGCTGTATTGGGGTGACTCCCCCTCCCCCTCCTCCCATGATGCTCCGGGGCCTCACCTGGCGGGAGATGATCATGACTGCCGGCCACTGCGAGCTCCCATCCCGGCCCGTCCCTTCCGCTGCCGGACCCGCCTCATTTCCGGGTCACGTGTTCCCGCCGCTGATTGGCCGCCTCCATTTCAGTAAACAGAGGGGGCGGGACCGGGGCGGAGAGGTGAGGGGCGGGGCTGAGTGTTCCGTGTCTCCGCCTCATCCGGACTGTACGATTAGGGGGGGCGGAGTGTGGAGACGCATGTGAGATGCCGGGGGAGGAGCCGACTGGGTGTATTCCTATTGGAGGAATCTCCATCCCGGGACAAAGGGGGCGGCACCGATTCGGCACTGTGGGCGGGGACAGGAGGTGGGCGGACTCTGCGTGCTAATGGCAGTGTGGTGCTATTGGACGGATCAGTGAGGGGGCGGAGTCTGCGTCTTTTACAAGATGGCGTCTTCTCGCGTCTGCTGGGGGGCGGTATAACCTTGCGGCTGAGCCCCGGTTTTACTGACCCCGAAAGCTGGAAATAGGGCGGGGCCACAACCACCTGCCAGTCCAACATGTCCCCTCCCACCGCCTGCACAACCCCTGAAGAGCGATCCGAGCGGGGTCACTGTCAGTGCTGAGGGTCAAAGGGGAGGGGCTGGTATTAGCCTCTTTCCTCACACGCCCCTATAGAACAGTATTAGCCCCTCCCCTCATCCCACATTGACCAATATTAGCCCCTCCCCCTCACACGCCCCCTAAAGACCATTATTATTATTATTATACAGTATTTATAGTTGGCTCAGCGCTGTACATTACAGAGGGGACAGAACATGTGACAGAACAATACCAATACAATGTGATACATGAGGGGATCGAGGGCCCTGATCCTGGGAGCTTACAATCTAAGAGGGAGGGCCCTGATCCTGGGAGCTTACAATCTAGGAGGGAGGGGCTGATCCTGGGAGCTTACAATCTAAGAGGGAGGGGCTGATCCTGGGAGCTTACAATCTAAGAGGGGGGGGGGGGCGCTGATCCTGGGAGCTTACAATCTAGGAGGGGGGGGGGGCTGATCCTGGGAGCTTACAATCTAGGAGGGGGGGGCTGATCCTGGGAGCTTACAATCTAGGAGGGGGGGGATGGTTGATGCCAAAGGAGTGCAGTTTAGTAAGGAGGAGGGGGTGAGGTGGGGGGCAGAGACTGAGGGGGTGAGGTGGGGGGCGGAGACTGAGGGAGTGAGGTGGGGGGGGCAGAGACCGAGGGAGTGAGGTGCGGGGGCGGAGACTGAGGGGGTGAGGTGCGGGGGCGGAGACCGAGGGGGTGAGGTGCGGGGGCGGAGACCGAGGGGGTGAGGTGGGGGGCGGAGACCGAGGGAGTGAGGTGGGGGGCAGAGACCGAGGGAGTGAGGTGGGGGGGCAGAGACCGAGGGGGTGAGGTGCGGGGGCGAAGACCGAGGGGGTGAGGTGGGGGGCAGAGACCGAGGGGGTGAGGTGCGGGGGCGGAGACCAAGGGGGTGAGGTGGGGGGCAGAGACCGAGGGGGGTGAGGTGGGGGGCGGAGACCGAGGGGGTGAGGTGCGGGGGCGGAGACCGAGGGGGTGAGGTGCGGGGGCGGAGACCGAGGGGGAGGTGAGGTGAATTATAGGGGGGGGGGCGGAGACCGAGGGGGTGAGGTGGGGGGTTGAGAGATAGATTTGTGTGTCGTCGGCATAGAGGTGGTAGTTGAAGCCGTGAGAGTGTATGAGTTGGCCAAGGGAGGAGGTGTAGATGGAGAAGAGAAGGGGCCCGAGGACAGAGCCTTGAGGGACCCCAACAGAGAGGGGGAGTGAGGGGGAGGGTGGTAGCATTATAGGTAACACTGAAGGAGCGTTGTGACAGGTAGGATGAGAGCCAGGAGAGAGCAGAATCTCTGAGGCCGAGGGAGTGTAGATTTTTGAGGAGGAGGGGGTGGTGGACTGTGTCGAAGGCCGCAGAGAGGTCAAGGAGTAGGAGCACTGAATAGTGGCCATTAGCTTTGGCGGTTAGCAGGTCGTTGGAGAGTTTGAGTAAGGCAGTTTCCGTGGAGTGTAGGGCGGTTTCGGTGGAGTGTAGGTGGTTTCGGTGGAGTGTAGGGGGGTTTCGGTGGAGTGTAGGGCGGGCGGTTTCGGTGGAGTGTAGGGCGGTTTCGGTGGAGTGTAGGGCGGTTTCGGTGGAGTGTAGGGGGGTTTCGGTGGAGTGTTTCGGGCGGGTTTCGGTGGAGTGTAGGGGGGGTTTCGGTGGAGTGTAGGGTGGTTTCGGTGGAGTGTAGGGCGGTTTCGGTGGAGTGTAGGGGGTTTCGGTGGAGTGTAGGGGGGTTTCGGTGGAGTGTAGGGCGGTTTCGGTGGAGTGTAGGGCGGTGGTTCGGTGGAGTGTAGGGCGGTGGAGTGTAGGGGGTTTCGGTGGAGTGTAGGGGGGTTTCGGTGGAGTGTAGGGGGTTTCGGTGGAGTGTAGGGGGGTTTCGGTGGAGTGTAGGGTGGTTTCGGTGGAGTGTAGGGCGGTTTCGGTGGAGTGTAGGGCGGTTTTCGGTGGAGTGTAGGGCGGTTTCGGTGGAGTGTAGGGCGGTTTCGGTGGAGTGTAGGGGGGTTTCGGTGGAGTGTAGGGGGGTTTCGGTGGAGTGTTCGGTGGTGGAGTGTAGGGCGGGTTTCGGTGGAGTGTAGGGGGGTTTCGGTGGAGTGTAGGGGGGTTCGGTGGAGTGTAGGGCGGGTTTCGGTGGAGTGTAGGTTGGTTTCGGTGGAGTGTAGGGCGGTTTCGGTGGAGTGTAGGGGGGTTTCGGTGGAGTGTAGGGCGGGTTTCGGTGGAGTGTAGGGGGGTTTGGTGGAGTGGAGTGTAGGGCGGTTTCGGTGGAGTGTAGGGCGGTTTCGGTGGAGTGTAGGGAGGTTTCGGTGGTGGAGTGTAGGGCGGGTTCGGTGGAGTGTAGGGCGGTTTCGGTGGAGTGTAGGGCGGTTTCGGTGGAGTGTAGGGCGGTTTCGGTGGAGTGTAGGGCGGTTTCGGTGGAGTGTAGGGGGGTTTCGGTGGAGTGTAGGGCGGTTTCGGTGGAGTGTAGGGGGGTTTCGGTGGAGTGTAGGGCGGTTTCGGTGGAGTGTAGGGGGGTTTCGGTGGAGTGTAGGGCGGTTTCGGTGGAGTGTAGGGGGGTTTCGGTGGAGTGTAGGGGGGTTTCGGTGGAGTGTAGGGGGGTTTCGGTGGAGTGTAGGGGGTTTCGGTGGAGTGTAGGGGGGTTTCGGTGGAGTGTAGGGCGGTTTCGGTGGAGTGTAGGGGGTTTCGGTGGAGTGTAGGGGGTTTTCGGTGGAGTGTAGGGCGGTTTCGGTGGAGTGTAGGGCGGTTTCGGTGGAGTGTAGGGGGGTTTCGGTGGAGTGTAGGGCGGGTTCGGTGGAGTGTAGGGCGGTTTCGGTGGAGTGTAGGGCGGGTTCGGTGGAGTGTAGGGCGGTTTTTCGGTGGAGTGTAGGGGGGTTTCGGTGGAGTGTAGGGCGGTTTCGGTGGAGTGTAGGGAGGTTTCGGTGGAGTGTAGGGCGGTTTCGGTGGAGTGTAGGGCGGTTTCGGTGGAGTGTAGGGAGGTTTCGGTGGAGTGTAGGGAGGTTTCGGTGGAGTGTAGGGCGGTTTCGGTGGAGTGTAGGGCGGTTTTTCGGGGGAGTGTAGGGGGGTTTCGGTGTAGTGTAGGGGGGTTTGGGTGTAGGGGGGTTTCGGTGGAGTGTAGGGCGGTTTCGGTGGAGTGTAGGGCGGGTTCGGTGGAGTGTAGGGGGGTTTCGGTGGAGTGTAGGGAGGTTTCGGTGGAGTGTAGGGGGTTTCGGTGGAGTGTAGGGGGTTTCGGTGGAGTGTAGGGTGGTTTCGGTGGAGTGTAGGGAGGTTTCGGTGGAGTGTAGGGAGGTTTCGGTGGAGTGTAGGGCGGTTTCGGTGGAGTGTAGGGCGGTTTCGGTGGAGTGTAGGGTGGTTTCGGTGGAGTGTAGGGCAGGTTTCGGTGGAGTGTAGGGCAGTTTCGGTGGAGTGTAGACCAATATTAGCCCCTCCCCCATGCCACCTATACACCAATATTAGCCCCTCACACACATGCTCCCCCTACAGAACAATGTTAGCCCCTCCCCCTCACTCACATGTGCCCCTAGAGATGTAAAGACAGGTCCTCTCCTCCCACCAATGTGAAGACAGGTCCTCTCCTCCTCCCACCAATGTGAACACAGGTCCTCTCCTCCCCCACCAATGTGAGCAATGTGAACACAGGTCCTCTCCTCCTCCCACCAATGTGAAGACAGGTCCTCTCCTCCTCCCCCAATGTGAGCACAGGTCCTCCTCCTCCTCCCACCAATGTGAAGACAGGTCCTGTCCTCCTCCCACCAATGTGAGCACAGGTCCTCTCCTCCCACCAATGTGAAGACAGGTCCTCTCCTCCTCCCACCAATGTGAAGACAGGTCCTCTCCTCCTCCCACCAATGTGAAGACAGGTCCTGTCCTCCTCCCACCAATGTGAGCACAGGTCCTCTCCTCCCACCAATGTGAAGACAGGTCCTCTCCTCCTCCCACCAATGTGAAGACAGGTCCTCTCCTCCTCCCACCAATGTGAAGACAGGTCCTCTCCCCACCAATGTGAGCCTCCTCTCCACCAATGTGAAGACAGGTCCTCTCCTCCTCCCACCAATGTGAGCACAGGTCCTCTCCTCCTCCCACCAATGTGAAGACAGGTCCTCTCCTCCTCCCACCAATGTGAAGACAGGTCCTCTCCTCCTCCCACCAATGTGAGCACAGGTCCTCTCCTCCTCCCACCAATGTGAGCACAGGTCCTCTCCTCCCACCAATGTGAAGACAGGTCCTCTCCTCCTCCCACCAATGTGAAGACAGGTCCTCTCCTCCTCCCCCACCAATTCTCCCACTCCCAAGGTGATGGACCTCTTAGGGTTTTAGTGGAGCGGAGTTGAGATATAAAGGAGGAGAGGTCTGTGACGGGAGTCACATTGGGTGGGGGGCCCGTGGAACACGGCTCACTTTGGGTGGGGGGCCCGTGGAGTACAGCTCACTTTGAGTGGGGGGCCCGTGGAACACGGCTCACTTTGG